CCCCAAAACCCCAAAACCCCAAAACCCCTAATGCTGCTACTCGTATTGAAAAGTCAAATATATTTAAACTCAAGGTTGTCTTACTTCTTCAGGTCATTGTAGTCATAAAAAGTCTCATCGTCATCCCAATTGCTGGTTTCCCATGCAGACGGTCCTATATCTTTCATCTGGAGGCCAAAATTGGTCTTAGTTTTGGTCTTTAAAGTCCTTTGGGAGCCTATACACCAATAAAACCCTAAAATTACTAGTAAATTTGTACTTCCTTCTTAAAGGTGGAGAGAAAATTCCATCTTTCAATCGCTTTTGAGAGGAGAAATTGTTTGTCCTAGTCTTCTTCTTTATAATGTCTACACTATAAAAGAGGGAAGCTACCGTTTTGGAACTGAATCTTCTTATTGTTGATCTTCCGTACTTTTAAAGAGTTACTCAAGATCCTACACACTTATGAACAATATTACTGATTCCTGCCTTTGAGCTTATTCTGAAGCTCAGCCCTTTTCTGTATGAACTTCATGATCTCAGAAGACCCTTCCTTCACTGGATTGGAGATATGCACAAAGCTGAAGTTCCTCACTGGGCTGAGCTCCACATCGGTAGTTCTCATATTCTTAAGCCTAGAGTAAAAGTCAGTAACCAAGAAGGATTTAGTAGGTTTAGAAATACTATCCAGAAAGCCCTTTGTTGGAAAGTCCTATCTCCTTTTGCTAATTGAAAAATATCTGAGAAGTTCTAATAAAGTTTGGTATTCTAAGGAACGTTAATGAAACAAATCTAAAGAAAGTGTTTAAATTCCATACTTAGTAAGATTAGAGTTGCTAGAGAGCTTCTCTAAGAGACAGGCCTGCCAAGGCCTGCTCTTATAGAAGCCTCCACAAGACTTATCCCTTAAATAAGTCTTTGATATCTTGTCTTTGTATGTTCAAATCTTGTTGGCCTGGAATAGCCCAGATCTCGTATATTTCTTGACAAACACAGAGGGTATAAATGATGATTTATACATCAAGTATTTTTCCTAGAGAAATCAGTCCTGGAGGATCTATACTTACGCTATCTCTTTTTAGTTCTACAGACTTCTCCCTATATTAGAGTAAGCCTCACTAGGAACAGGAGATCCTGGCTGTACCTGTATGCATTATTTCAAATCAGATGAGTTATTAAGAGAGGTGTGACGGGATCCTAGAGTTTTGTTCTCTTTGAGAAGATCAATCTTATGGCTTTGATGCAACTCCCTCTTGGGTTTCCTACAACTAAACCCTAGTAGAGCTTACCTCTTAATAGATTTCAGAGGGGAAAACTTCATCTTATTGTTCTTACAAGGGCTGTGGTACTCTGTACTTCCTCCCTGAATGTTCATGGCTCAATGAGCTTTGGCTTTCTTGCCAAAATTTCGACTGAATATCTGCACTTTCATTTTTATTTGTCACTCGTATTTCACAATTATATTTGATCGTAAGGGGTTTTGGGGTTTTGGGGTTTTGGGGTTTTGGGG